TGATTATTAATGGTAAAGTACTGAATAAATAGTGATTGTTTCATAGTTTGGAGGCCTCTGAGATTGTTTATATTTAATAATAACATAAATGAGCCATAAAGTTTTATTGATTTATTCCATTAGAGCATATTCATATATATTCAAATATATTTAAAAATCACAGGAAAACAAATGGCAACAGTCTTAGATCATCCATAAGGATGATTAGTATGTTGTCTAAAAAGCATCCTTAAGCATCTATATTTTTTATTTTTCTATGTAATAAACTCAGTAATATAATAGAGATGTTCTCAGCATACACACACACACACACACACACACACACACACACATGGTTGGAGCAAAAGCAATTGTGTTTTTTAGCAAGGAAGAAAATTGTACTGGAGAAATCTTGCAAGCAATACCTTAAAATGAAATTTTATATATATCTATTTGTGTATAAATATATCTATATAAATATGTATGTATATAGAGGTACACATAGAATTGCTGGTTGTCTTACTATATTTATAAGAAGATATTTCAAAGCTAAAACTGTAACTCATTTGGTACTTAAACTTAAGGCAAAATATAAATAATCATGTGCATCACAATTCTAACTGTTATAGGAAGAGTTAATGCTATGTCTGGCTAAATCTTTTCAGCTAGCAAAAGTCATATATAGCATTGATATATTATTCATTGAGTTGTTACATAAGTGAAATAATTTTGTTTAATTGATTTCCAGGTTGCTACTGGACTAGAAACAGTATGAAAATGTAATGGTGTGGCTATTTAGGAACTCAGAATATAGATAACATATTTGGACCTAACAATACAATATTTCTTGATCAAATTCCTGAATACAGTAATACAAAAATCTTTGGATTATTTTTGTTAAAGAAAGCAAAAAACATTGTAACCTATAAATATTTATATCTTATGTAGTTACAGAGTATTTCCAAAATTTTGGTAGAAGTAAATTTTTCTGGTCAGTTTATAATTAATGATGATATGATAATGATGGTGACTCATATTGTCCAAAATAAACTTTCTTGGAAATTTACTGCTATTCTTTTTTACTTACTATGAAAATCCTGATCAATCTTTCCTGGGATCATTTCCACTTTGTATTTTACCTAGCCTTTGCCTTTTCCTCCAATAATACTCCTATGCTCCCCCTTAGTAAACAAAATTTGAATTTATATATTTAAAGAAATATAAAATTTTTGGTGTTACTTTAGAACTTTGTTTTCTTTCAACTCTTTATTGACGTTATAACTTCCTCTGCTTGCTGAATTTGTTAACATTTTTTTTTTGGTTCTAGGGTTACAGAAAAAAGAGACACACATGAGAACTAGTTTTTCATTTCTAATTGAAAAATGTATTCTTTTGTGGCTTATAATTGATCAAATTAATTATGTTTCAAACTAAATTCCTCAGAAAATCCTGTTATATTCATTCCATCGTTTTCATTTTCTCTAATAGTTTCTTTCTGCCTCTAGATTTAGTGTTTACCAACATGGGCAGGTAACCAAATTTTACCAGACTGATCATAACAAAGCAAATTTTACTCCTTTCAGAAACCTTCACCGGATTCCAATTTCTTCCACAAAATGTCTACTTGTGGCAGTAAGTGCCATTTATTTGGCAATAAGCGCCACCTAAGAGAGAATCTCAACTTGCATCTTCATCCTTATCTTCCATTACCTTCTTACAGCTAAACAATAAGCTTATTGTTTAATTTTATCTAGATTTGGTCACATCTAGTGTTTTTAATCATTGGCTTTTTGCAGGCATGTTATGTGATTTTTGCTGTGCCTCATCTCTTAAGGATTGAATTTCAATGTGAATAAAATAATGAGGTCTTAGCCTGATATTGTATTTACATTTTGATTGATTGCTATGTAATAGGAATAGATTTTTGCATTTCATATTTCAATTATGTCAAATAGTGACAAGACATATTTTTGGGAAAATTTATTTATTTCACATTCACAATTTATTAACCTATCTATTTTAAAGCCAGACCTTCTTATAAAATATCTAACTAGAAGTGGTATCTCCCTCTTCTGCGTTGCAACACAATATTTTCATCTCTTATAATTGTTTTTACTGCATATTTTACTTATTTTCACCCATGCTTCATTTCATCTACTTGAATGTAAGTTCCTTGGTGAAATAACCTTTGCATATACACAAAGGTTCAACACAACAGCTAGAACTTTTAATACTTGACATACTGAATCAAATCTTTCTTTCCTATGACTTTTATAAAAAGACATTAATTAAAGAAGGCACACAATTCACTTCAGAGCTCTTAGACATGAAATAAACAAGAGAATTGATATCGAGTGATTATATACACAATATCTTAACCAATAGATATAAACAGAATAGATATACATGGAATAGATTTATGAATGAATTGTGTTGTCATTATTTGATGTAATAGAAATATTAGTTTCCAATTTAATTTTAGGGACAATTAGTCAAAGTGTAAGGTCCAAAGAATTAGGCTGGCTGCCTCCTTTTATTCACAATGAAAATTAGTCATGCATCCAAGAGACTTAGTATAGCAACATCATGTTAAAAAAATTGCAAAATAGCAATTATTTAAAATGCTAGGTTGAACTGAACTTGGATGGCAATTTAAGCAAAACATTAATTTGAAATAGCCAATGAGACTCTCAGGATAAGATCTTTAATCTCTCAGGTTTACACTATTGCCTTCTGTTGCCAATACAAACCTTAGTAGTTTAGTAGTTATTATCACTTTGTAGGTTTACCAAACATTACTTTAAATTGGGACAATGAAATATTTTATGTGACAAAGTAAATTACATAGAAGGTACCTTTTATCCTCACACCTAAATTTAGAATGGTAGGAAAATAATAAGTATGCTACCTTGAAATTATCACTATGTTTTATTTTCTCAACACATTTTTTCTTGTGCCAAAAGCCATGTACTATTGTGGCCCATATGCTGTAAAGTAGCAAGAGATGGCAATTTTGGAAGAATAATTTTTCTTTGTCCCAAAAACTCAGATAAAATAGTTACACTTTTTTAAATAACAAAAATTTCCAATGGAATGAAACCTGTATTTCTGGTATGTTAAAATTTCCTAACTTATTTACAGTAGAACATGGCTTATGAGGATGCTTAATATACACCTGTATTTGGTTTTTAGAATACATGTGGCAAAACAGCACAGTAATGCAGCCATTCATATCTGTTTTTGTTTTTTAGAAAGTCAGGCTCTGAATGAAAATATCTGAAGATGTGGCTCAGCCAATAATTGTTTTTAAAACCATGTTATAGATTAAGATTGATTTTTTTGTAGGTATTATGGAAGTTCTTCCTTCAGGGACAGTTCAACACAACAGCTAGAACTTTTAGTACTTGACATACTGAATCAAATTTTTCTTTCCTATGACTTTTATAGAAAGACATTAATTAAAGAAGGCACACAGTTCACTTCAGAACTCCTTAGACATGAAATAAACAAGAGAATTGATATCGAGTGATTATATACACAAAAAGCAAGTGAGTCCATATATATCCTAATATTTTATTGGCAGCATTTTGCCACAGTTACAGAACTGACTTTTGTCTTTACTCTTTGAGATCAGCAAATAAGAATTATAATGGCTTACAGATTGCAAAATAATCATAGTTATTAGGCAATAATGTTAATGTTTCTAAAGTAATTGGAATCTGAAGTAAGAAATGAAACTTAGATCTCTGATAGTATTCTAGAGCAATAAGTGAGTTTTGTCTCTAAACAATTTAAGATAAGTAACTGGAAAGAGTGGGCCAGCATGAAAAGTAATTTGAAATTGAACTTCTCAGAGTACAATGCAATACATGAAAGCAATATTATTTTTATGACACTCTAACCCTATGCCTTACAGAATGGGTACACATTAAATTGTAACAATTAGAATGACGCACAGTGTTTACTGTATAAATATTAGAATAGATATAATGTAAGAAAAAAACACAACACACGTCATTCAGAGGGGAATCTTTAATAGTATTATTCTAACATAATCTGTCTCCTGTGTGATTATTTGTCATGTATTCTTGTCAGAGAGTAGCTTTTAGTTTTTAGTTTGCAAAAATTCTTAACCAGTTTATCAAAAAGGCAGGTCCTCCTTTTCTTCTCCCAGGATTCTGCTAAAATTGTTTTGGTGTAGTTCCTAGGAATTTGTGTGTCAAAGGACCCTATCAGTTGATTCAGGGCAGGTGACCACAGTTTAGACAATGAAGAGCAGAGATATCAGAAAATGTTTTAGTCAGCAAATAAGAATACTCAGGGAAAAAGATAATGAACAATTGAGCCTTGGAGTGCTTCTTGTTCAACTGCATGAGGAAATGTGATTAGTATTAAGAATGAAATTATGTTCATAATCTGGTAGCAGATAGAGAAATATGCACAAGTGATTCTTAAGAACTATCTGTACCTGTAAAGGTCTACTCTGAAAGGTAAAACTATATTTGGCCCAAGCCAAGAGATAGGAGATAATAGGCTAGATCCTAAAAAACTTTTGATTAATTGGTTATTACAAAGATAATCATTATGAAATGGAATAGTCTTTGAATAAATTTTGGATGCAAATACTAACTTTGAAGGAATCAGGCTTTAAAATAATTTTATTTGGAACAAATGCAGATATTTTGTCTTCTTGAATATCAATATTTCTCTGGGTTCAGGTCAATGCAATTTTTTTTTTGTTTTTCTCACTTAATGAAGATAGTGAATTGCTAGTCTCTAAAATTCTATACAATTTTAGATTTCAAATAGCTTTTTTGTAATTTAAAAAAATTACTGTGTCATTAATTTGGAAAACAATGACCCACTTTCTCCATATACAAAAACAGCAGCTAGGATTTACCAAATTTTTACTTTGGTAAAATCACAGGAAAAGATACATTAAAATGCATTTAATCTGTTTATTGTTTTTATTTTATTATTATTATTATGGTATTTATTTATTTATTTATTTATTTTTGCAGATTCAAGAATGGCTTTGTTTAAATTGCCAAACCCGGAGAGCAATATCAGGACAGCTTGGAGACATGAGCAAAATGCCACCTGCACCATCAGGGCCCAAAGCATCTCCCATGCCTATCTCTACAGAACTACCACCTCAGAAAACAGCAGTGCCTCCCCAAGTAAAATTAGCGAAAAAGGAGGAACAAGAAGTAAAAACAGAAGCTGAAAAAGTCGTTCTAGAAAAAGTAAAGGAAACAATATCAATGGAAAACATTCCCCCTATGGTAACCACAGATCAAAAACAAGAAGAGAGTAAGCTAGAGAAAGACAGAGCTTCAGTTCTTCAAGAAAAAACGCCACTCCCTGAAGAAAAAAAACTAATCCTGAAAGAAGAAAAGGTATGTCCTGAAGAAAAAAAGCCACTCTTAGAAGAAAAAAAACCAACCCCTGAAGACAAAAAGCTACCACCAGAGACAAAAACATCAGCCCCAGAAGAACAAAAACATGACTTACTTAAATCTCAAGTACAAATTGCTGAAGAAAAGCTGGAAGGCGGAGTGACTCCAAAGACAGTGCAAGAAGAGAAACAACCACAGACCAAGATGGAAGATTTACCCTCTGGCACACCTCAGCTTTTACCTAAAGAAGATAATAAGACAATCAAAACAATAAAAGAACAGCCACAGCCACCATGCTCAGCAAAGCCTGATCAGGTGGAACCTGGGAAAGAAAAAACAGTAAGTTATATTTTACTAAGTTCTCACAGTCTCATTGGGAAATTACTAATTGTTAACCTACAGTATACAAGTTGCACAATGGTAATTATATAAGTGAAATTCCTCAAACAAATGACATTCTTAAGGAAGTATAATAATTGTTTACTATATTGAAAAGCTTTTGTTTTTTTTACAGCTTTATGAAGTTTACATAAAGCATAAATGCAACATTTATTTCACTGTTTCTTATGCCTATCAAATAATCTATCAAAATCATATAGAGTGATAGAGATTATCTAGTTTTAAGTTGTTTTTTCTTTACTATAGACATCAAACTTAGTATCCCCCTTGAACATAAAATAATGTGTTTTTTATGTATGTTTTTCTTTACTTAATCATGTGTTTACATAAGCATCAATAAGCTTTTTCCCAGTTGAAATCACTTTAAGGTGTGGTCAGTCATAAGTGATTGCAAAAAAAAAAAAAAAAAAACTAAAATCCAAAGCAAAAGTCATTGTAAAATTTCACAAAGCAGTTTAACATTTACAGGATTTTTAATATAAAATCAGTTTAATTCAATGTGTTTACTATTGAAAGGTTATTTATAATCAGCATAATTTGGAAAAACATTTAATAAAATTTTCATTTAACCCATTTTAGCCAATATTTTCACAAGCAATTGTATCATTTTCAGAGGAACTCCGATATTTTTTGGTGCTGTAAGAGATCTTACGTAATACCTAATTGAATAAATTTAATTTGCAGAGGACAGCAATGATTTACCAGGAAATTAAATAATTTAATAGTATTAAAATTCCAACTAGAAACTATAGTTTGTTTGACTGTGACATTTGTGTTTTGTTTATAGTTTTAACCCATGCTTACTAACCCATCTGTGCTGTCCGATGCATTATCAAAGTCAATCCTGGTCTCGTCCTTAAATGAGTTTGAGCAGTCAAAGAGATGCCTACATGTATTCTCCATTCTAATGACGGAATCTAGCCACCACTGCCACAAATTGCTTCTCCTAGCTAACCTTTGCAGAGCTTGATGCTTGGTACTGTTTGTCCCTTTGTGAAACTATCTGTGGCTTTCATGACCCTCTACTTTCCTTCTCGTTTTGTTTTTCGGATCATACGTTATGAAATCTACTGTGACTATCTCTATGATTTCTCTTTGCCAATTCCAAATGATGATTTTCCTTGTTTTTCTTTGAGTTCTGGCCTCATTCCTCCCATGGGAGCTACGTGAAGAACTTTTGAAGCCACTTATCCTCTTGTCCCTCTTTTGAGTGTCAGACCTGCATTTTCAAGTACCTAGTAGATAGTTCCACTTGAAAACCACTCTGTAAAGGCAAACTCAATGTGTCTGACTCTTACTCACTTCTCTATAGAAACAGTTTCTGCTTGTAATTTTCTATTGCATTATCATGTGCCTGTCTCCTGTCTCCCAGTTACTAATCTTCTGCGTGTTTTAAGGTGTATTCTTATCTGCTCTTTGTTCTCCACATTCAAGTTATCACATTTCTGTCTGTTAACTCTTGTTCCTCAGGGCACCACCTTACTTACTGCTTTCATGACCTTTTGCCAATTATTTGAACAATCTAATTACTGGTTAGGATGCCTTCCTTTTCTCCCTTCTCTAGTCTACAGCTGTCAGGTAAGTGTTTTCTAGGGTTCAGATAATTTAATTTCACCACTTAGATATTCCTAACAATTCCCTCTCATGTTTTAAATATGTTCCAAACAAGAAGTCTTCAAATATTTTGTGAATGCACTCCTTTTTATTTATTTTATACATATATCACTTTATTTTTATTACTTTTTCTTTTATTATACAATCTCAATATATGTATATGTATTTATACAATTTATGTATGTACTATATTACTAATATATTATTTACCTTTTAAAAATAATAAAATAAAATTCACAAAGAATAGAAAATAATTCAGTGAAATAAACTGAAATTACCATTCTTATTCATTTAAATGCAGGTATTAAATACAGATACATTTGATCACCTTAAAAAGTGATTAATACTGTTATTTTAGAGAGAGCACTGATTATGCTTTAATATTTTTTAATATTTTGGTGTAAAATTTTATAACATAGTTATTTGAAATTTAGCTTCAAAGTTAAGCTTATTTTGATACTTTGATGTTCAGTTTTAATGGCTATCCAGAGCAGAAAAAAAGGTAATTAAAAAGGATATGGTAGAAATGGAAGAAATAGATCACAGATTGTTCTCACTAAATACTGCTACCTTTTTTAAAGTATGTATTTGGAAACGAATTATGAAAAAAAAAATAATTGGCAATTACACAAATAAATGTTAGCCTTCCTTAATACCAATCATTTGTGTTTGTTACCTATCAGAAAATGTAGGGCTTTTAAAATCCTTCTTCAGCAAATGGTTTTAAAACCCATTGGATTTCTTTGGAAGATTTTAAAACAGGTTAAAATATTCTGTTTTAAAGTTTGTTAAATGAGCAGATATGATAACTTTTAAAAGTGAGATATGTTATTTTATATAGCAAAATCATATGATGATTTCCAAATATTTACCTTCAAAGAGCTGTTTCCACATTATAATTTTCTCAAAGAAACAGATACTGTTTATTTTTCTCTAAATAGCTAATACCCAGCATACTGCTGACAACTGGTGTTTACTTTCTTGATACCTACTAAGTATTGTATTACATTAAAGCACTTATTATCCTCTATTTTCATTAAAAAGGATCAAATCTTCACATTCTGCAGTTTTTTAATGAATTTTCCATGAAATAATCAGTAAATATCTGTGTCATAGTCAAAAATAATGTCATAGTTATTCTGCGTCTTGGGACAACATAAATGTTCTTCAAAATATAAAAGCCTCATTCGCATACAGTTTACTACATCAGTAATATCTGGAGGTACTCTGTCCAATTCTGGCTTACTTGTAGTGAATAAATGTTTTCATATGTACTGCTATCTCCCTAACTTTATTCTTTAAAAATATAATTCCAATTGGAAAAAAATCACTTCTCAATTTTTAATATTTTTTATTAAAATATATACATTTTAAATTAAATCACTCCACTCCAAATGTCCTTCCACTATAACCATATGTCTTCAATGGTATATTTTTCCTTGAGAGTTCACAATGGTAATTCTTTAAGTATTTTATTATTACTTATAGAGAAATGGGGAATATTATAAACTGAGTATGTAAAGAAATCTCTGTAATTGGATTCTATTAGTATTGGATCTTTTGCTACTTAATTTGTTCTAATAATTTTCCCCCAAAACCTTCCACAATTATTTCTTTGTTTTTTGCAACAATTTTTTCTGACAAAGGAATGTGGTTTGATTTGTCACTATATTGATTCCACATATTACTTTAGTCATTTTTTATAGCAAAACAAAACAAAACATTTTCCCATATGTTATGTGATTTTTCTTGCTAAGCAAGAAAATTCAAAAGAAGATTCCAGATGATTATTATTCAAGGTAGTGAAAACTTCTGAAGTACTAGAAAATATATTTGCTGAAAATTACAGCGGCTTGTGATGGTGTCATAATACCACTGGCTTGACGCCAAAGCATGTTCTGTGTTTAGGGTAAGGTTTGCTATTAGCAATAATAGGTACAGAAACAGATTTCAAACAGCTTTTCTGATGATGGCAAGCATTTTTTACAAACTTCAAGTCAGATCTGATTTAATTTGATGATCATTGTTCTCACCTTGTTATGAAAACTGATAAAAAGTTTGCAACAATATGAAAAGTGTCAGCTTTCTTATGAGTGCATGTGTGTATTTCTTACATTACTAGTTTTATCTTATACACATTATTTTTTGCAGCAGTTTTTTTCTACCACTTAGCTATTATAGGAAAGTTGGTTTAGTTAAAACTAGCCAATTTATTTGTATAAACCATAGATCTGCATAACTGAACAATAAGCTTCAATATAAAGGTGAGCAAGTGAAGTGATTGCCTCACTGAACCTTCTCTTTATCGTCGGTTGCCTCTTTACAACTTCCAGCTTTCTCCTAGGATTCCTCATAGACGGTGTGACCAACTGATGTGACAAAGTGAGATAATAGTGTTGTCAATCTATTGATTAAATATTAGTGCAATGTAATTTATCTTCCATTTTGGATTTTAAAATACAACTACAATCCTAGTGTCTTCTCATTGTATTCCATTGAAGTACTTTGCATAGCTACCAGGGTATCTGCACCCCACAGCGGAGATTCCTGTCTAAATGGTTTAGTTGGCTTTCTCAGCCTTCTGGAATCTGGCTCCAACACAACTTTCCAGCAACCTCTAACATTCCCCATGGGGAGAAATTAAAGAAAAACAGTGAAATATTCTTTTGTGTGATTCCTGAACATAGCTTATGCTTTCTCCTTTCTGAACCTGTTCTCAGTTTTTCTATGTGCACTGATGCTGCACCTTCATATCAACTGTCAGAAAAATCCCACCTGAACCTCTGGACCACTTTGCTAGCACATCTTCATAACTCTGCCCTTCTGTTCCCTAGTGGTAGTCAGTTTTCCTGATGCAGAATTCACTGCAATGATTAGTTTCTTAATTAGTTTTTAATATACAATCAAAATAATAGTCTTAATTTACCTCTTACTATATTCTGGCTGCTATGTTAAGTACTTAATTATTTATACAACTATTAATAAGGTTAATATTATGATAGCTTTAGTAAAGATGGGGAAACTGAATTTCCATGCTCAAGGTCACATAGCTGGAAGGCAGAAGAACTAGAATTATAGTTTAGCTCTGATTATAAAGACTATGCTCTCACCCACTGCAGAAGATATTTTTTCCTATGACACTTTTAGCATACTGGCTTTTCATTATTGTGATTATCCATCTCTCTTAGCAACTCTTACTGCTGTTTCAAACGCTTGGTATAATATTTTACTCTATGTGTATTATTTATTCATTAATTTAGTTGTCATTTGTGTCATTCATTTCTTTGTTGCTGCATCATTTTGTCACTTCATTCATTCCTATCTTTCTTTTTTCTTTGAGACAAAGTCTCACTCTGTCGCCAGGCTGGAGTGCAGTGGCGCAATCTCGGCTCACTACAACCTCCACCTCCTGGGTTCAAGTGATTCTTGTGCCTCAGCCTCCTGAGTAGCTGGGACTGCAGGCATGTGCCGCCACACCCTGCTAATTTTTATATTTTTAGTAGAGACAGGGTTTTACCACATTGGCCAGAATGGTCTCGATCTCTTGACCTTGTGATCCACCAGCCTTGGCCTCCCACAGGGCTGGGTTTACAGGTGTGAGCCATCATGCCTAGCCTCAATCCTGTCTTTTCAAAATGTGCTTGTTGAGTAGCATTAAAATTAATCCTGAAATATAACAATTTGAAATTTACATACACGTTTTTAAATTTGGAGTTTAATATTTTAAAAGTCATATTGCTATAGAATTTTATTTTTACTTATATATGTAAACAAAATACTGTTTAAATCTTTATTTGATATAATATACTAAACTACACTCCCCATAGAAACCAAACTTGGGACATTCTTTAGCAAGTACTTTTATTTCTGATTAAAATGATCTGAGGGTTAGTATTCAAGTTACATATAGCCAATATATTGCTGCATCATCAGAAAGGATAAAAAATAATCAGGTTTCTCTAGTGAGAAGTATTCCCATATTATAGTGCTTAGGTGACAGCACCCAATCTTTCACTCCAGGTCCACTTAATTTTATTGGCTTAATTTTGTTTGGAGTGTTTCAAACACTCAGATCAGTAATCTGTATTAATGTAAACTTTATATAAATTACTGAAAATTTACATTCATTGTTTAATTTTAGACCATCAAAATAAATGGCTTTGGTAAAATTAAACAAAAAATTAACACTGCATCTTTTCTTTCCACAGTTTTTTTTTTTTTCCTGAAAACTATTTATTTTTTATTTTTATTATACTTTAAGTTCTGGGGTACATGTGCGGGTTGTGCAGGACTGTTACATAGGTATACATGGGCTGTGGTAGTTTGCTGTATCCATCCCCCTGTTGCCTATATTAGGTATTTATCCTAATGCCATCCTTCCCCAATCCCCCCACTCCCTGCTATCTCTTCCTTAGCCCCCTTGCCCCCCAACAGGCCCCAGTGTGTGATGTTTCCCTCCCTGTGTCCATGTTTTCTCATTATTCAACACCCACTTACAAGTGAGAATATGCAATGTTTGTTTTTCTATTCTTATGTCAATTTGCTGAGAATGATGGCTTCCAGCTTCATTTGTGTCCCTGCAAAGAACATGAACTCATCGTTTTTAATGGCTGCATAGTATTCCAAGGTGTATATGTGCCACATTTTCTTTATGCAGTCTATCCTTGAGGGCATTTGGGTTGGTTCCAAGTCTTTGCTATTGTAAATGCAAATACAGTGCTACAGTGAACACACATGTGCATGTGTCTTTATAATAGAATGATTTATAATCCTTTGGGTATATACCCAGTAATGGGATTGCTGGGTCAAATGGATCTAGTTCTAGATCCTTGAGGAATCATCATTCTGTCTTCCACAATGGTTGCAATAATTTACACTCCCACCAACAGTGTAAAAGTGTTCCTATTTCTCCAAATCCTCTCCAGCATCTGTTGTCACAAGATTTTTTAAATGAACACCATTCTAACTGGCATGAGATATTATCTCAATGTGGTTTTTGATTTGCATTTCTCTAATAACCAGTGGTGATGAGCATTTTTCATGTTTGTTGACTGGATGAATGTCTTCTTTTGAAGACATTTCAGCTTTCTGCACGTGGCTAGCCAGTTTTTCCAACACCATTTATTAAACAGGGAATCCTTTCTGCATTTCTTTTGTCACTTTTGTCAAAGATCAGATGGTTGTAGATGTATGGCATTGCCTCCAAGGCCTCTGTTCTGTTCTATTAAACTTTATCTCTGTTTTGGTACCAGTACCATGCTGTTTTTATTACTGTAACCTTTTAGTATAGTTTGAAGTCAGGTAGCTTGATGTTTCCAACTTTGCTTTTTTTTCTTTTTTTGCTTAGTATTGTCTTGGCTATGTGGACTCTTTTTTGGTTCCATATGAAGTTTAAGGTGATTTTTTCCAGTTCTGTGATAGTTCAGTGGTAGCTTGATGGGTATAGCATTGAATCCATAAATTACTTTGGGCAGTATGGCCATTTTCACAATATTGATTCTTTCTAACCATGAGTATGGAATGTTTTCCCATCTGTTTTTTTCCTCTCTTATTTCGTTGAGCAGTGGTTTGTAGTTCTCCTTGAAGAGGTCCTTCACATTCCTTCTTAGTTGTATTCCTAGCTATTTTGTTCTCTTTGTAGCAATTGTGAATGGGAGTTCGCCTTTTCAAAGTTTTATATGTCATCTAGAATTCAGTTCTCACCTTCAATAGTATTCAAAAAGTTTTGTTTGCCTTCAGTACAGAAGGCATTTTTGAAAAAAGCAAAACCAAATTTGCCAGTGTAGATATGTCTTGGCACATTCTCCACTACTAGTGAAGGCCTTAAGATATACCACTATGTGATCTAAATGGGACTCTGTTTCTCACTGCCTCTCACTGACTGGTCTGCAGCTCAGTAAATGGCTGGGGGTTATTGGAAGGAAAAGGAAAAAAAAAGATTGGAGAGTAAACAGTTTGCAGACTTGCCACTTCAAAATATTCAAGAATCACTCGGGGAAGAAAAATCATTGCAGCATTACCACCACTGGTAAATAATGATGAAATCCTGTGAGGAGTGTGGAGGGAGGAGACCAGGCAATGAGTGGGAGGAGGAATGAGTCGGTAGGACATAGTACTTAGTGAAGAAGAAAAGCATGAACACAAGGAGAAGGCACATAATGGAGATTGCAGGGTTGGTATTTTGATATTTATGTGTATTAATTTTCTGTCTAATATCACTTAATTTCCTTTGTTACATTTTATATGTCTGGTCCTAATCTTTTCTGGAAAATATTAGTAGAACCTTCAGAATCCATTATATAAAACTATAATTTTTAAGCAGCTGATTTCCTAACCCCTCCTTTCTGTAGGCTGTGAGACTATTGTGACACTCTCCTTCACATAGGGCAACTAACTGAATCAGTTTCATTCTGTTCGTATATATTTTTAATGAACAAAAAAGTCTTTATGCAGCAATTCTCTATGTTTAATTTTTATTTAAGGCATCTATGATTTTTGAACTTAAGTTGAGTCATGGCATCATCATATCCCAAGAAAGGCAACAAGTTCAAGGCTGTGGCATGTCTCTAAGTGTCCTAGATCTCTGGAAAGCCCATGCTCCCATTCACAAAAGCTATTTATTGTTTAAGGAAGCTGCTTTTGAAGATAAAACAAGATTTCAAAGTCAGAAGATATTTGTAGGTGATATTAGTGAAACACTTTTGAGTTGGGATGCTGAAGATAAATGTGATGAACAACTCTACAAAAGTAATAGCTGGATATTTCTCTTTAATTGAACTGATGCGTCAGATCAATTATTGCATAGTGTTTTCAAAGTACATAATTTCTAAACATTCATTCCAAATGATATAGAGTAACAATATTAACAACAATAACAAGTATATATAGTGGTTCATAACTTTCAAAATGTCTTTTAAAAGCTGTGCCTTGTTTGAATCATTTGACAAGAATGATACAATTATTTATGGTACATAGCACATATGTTACTATGGCATGTTACTTGCTTTTTTTTTGTTGTTCAGTAAATTCTCTAACATCCCATACAACTTGTAGCCAGGCACAAAGCTCATTGTCTGATACTTTCTTGAACTTTCCCAGACCTCATAATCCAAAAGTATAAATTATATTAATATAAAATTTAGCATGAAACATCTTCATCACAATTTATAAACTTTATCCTAACGCATATTTATTGAGAAAAATAATCATATTTTTGAGGGAAAATGACATTGAAATGTGAAAGGGTAGAGTATTTATGAAAGAAGATCAAATGTCATTCAGAATTGATATTTAATGAAATTTAGTTCAAATGGAAACTAACCTTAACACATATCAACAATTTTTTTCTCATGCAGATTTTTAAAAAATACTGACATATGGTTGGAAAAAAAATTCCAAAATTATTTTTTAGTTTCTGATAGTTATTTGGGAGTAATGGAGAGGCCATGTTTTTAGTTTAACCATGTTAAGTTTTCCTGTGTCTTTATCTCCCTGCTTAGGAAAAGGAAGATGACAAATCAGACACCTCAAGTTCTCAGCAGCCTAAAAGCCCTCAAGGTCTGAGTGACACAGGATATTCTTCTGATGGAATATCAAGCTCACTTGGTGAAATTCCAAGTCTTATTCCAACTGATGAAAAGGATATTCTCAAGGGACTAAAAAAGGACTCTTTTTCACAAGAAAGCAGCCCTTCCAGCCCCTCAGATTTGGCTAAGTTAGAAAGTACAGTCCTATCCATTTTGGAAGCTCAAGCAAGTACACTTGTTGATGAAAAGTCGGAAAAGAAAACAAAACCCCATGTGGTTTCTTCAGAACAGCCTAAAGACCATCAGAAAACACAGATTTTATCTGAAACCTTGGAAATTACTATTTCAGAAGAGGGGATCAAAGAAAGTCAAGAAGAAAGGAAAGACACATTTAAAAAAGATAGCCAACAAGGTATTCCTTCCAGCAAGGACCATAAAGAAAAGTCTGAGTTTGTTGATGATGTAACTACTAGAAGAGAGCCTTATGATTCTGTTGAAGACAGTAGTGAAAGTGAAAACTCACCTGTTCCACAAAGAAAACGAAGAACTAGTGTTGGCTCATCAAGCAGTGATGAATATAAACAGGAAGACAGCCAAGGATCAGGGGAAGAGGAGGATTTCATTCGAAAACAAATCATAGAAATGAGTGCTGATGAAGACGCTTCAGGTTCTGAAGATGATGAGTTCATCAGGAACCAGCTCAAAGAGATTAGTAGCAGTACTGATAACCAGAAAAAGGAAGAAACAAAGGGAAAAGGCAAAATAGCAGCAGGGAAACACAGACGACTGACTCGAAAAACTAGCACAAGCATTGATGATGATGCAGGAAGACGTCACTCATGGCATGATGAAGATGATGAAGCATATGATGAAAGTCCTGAACTTAAATACAGAGAAACTAAAAGTCAGGAAAGTGAAGAACTTGTAGTTGCTGGAGGAGGAGGGCTACGCCGATTTAAAACAATTGAGCTCAATAGTACAATAGCAGATAAATATTCTGCAGAGTCATCACAGAAAAAAACAGCTTTGTTTTTTGATGAAGAGCCAGAATTAGAAATGGAAAGCCTGACAGACTCACCTGAAGATAGGTCAAGGGGAGAGGGATCTTCTAGTCTTCATGCGTCCAGCTTTACTCCTGGTACATCCCCTACATCAGTATCATCACTTGATGAGGACAGTGACAGTAGCCCGAGTCACAAAAAAGGAGAGAGCAAACAGCAACGCAAAGCTCGGCACAGAACACATGGCCCTCTTTTGCCTACTATTGAAGATTCTTCAGAGGAAGAAGAATTGAGAGAGGAAGAAGAATTATTAAAGGAGCAAGAAAAACAGAGGGAAATAGAACAGCAACAAAGAAAGAGTTCTAGTAAAAAATCAAAGAAAGACAAAGATGAACTTCGAGCTCAGAGAAGAAGGGAAAGACCAAAGACACCACCTAGTAATCTCTCTCCTATTGAAGATGCATCTCCAACAGAAGAGTTACGTCAGGCCGCAGAAATGGAGGAGCTCCATAGATCTTCTTGTTCTGAATATTCACCTAGCATAGAATCAGACCCAGAAGGTTTTGAAATAAGCCCAGAAAAAATAATAGAAGTACAAAAAGTTTATAAATTGCCCACAGCTGTGTCATTATACTCACCAACAGATGAGCAATCTGTTATGCAGAAAGAAGGTAGCCAAAAGGCATTAAAAAGTGCTGAGGAGATATATGAAGAAATGATGCATAAAACACACAAATATAAAGCTTTTCCAGCTGCGAATGAACGAGATGAAGTGTTTGAAAAAGAGCCTTTGTACGGTGGCATGCTAATAGAAGATTATATTTATGAATCCTTAGTAGAAGACACATATAATGGATCAGTAGATGGAAGTCTGCTAACAAGGCAAGAAGAAGAAAATGGATTTATGCAGCAGAGAGGAAGAGAGCAAAAGATAAGACTTTCAGAACAGCTTTATGAAGATCCAATGCAGAAAATTACAGATCTGCAAAAAGAATTTTATGAGTTAGAAAGCTTACATTCTGTTATGCCTCAAGAAGATATTGTTTCAAGCTCTTTTATCATCCCAGAAAGCCACGAGATAGTGGATCTGGGTACTATGGTAACTTCTACAGGAGAAGAAAAAAAACTACTAGATGCTGATGCTGCCTATGAAGAACTTATGAAGAGGCAACAGATGCAGTTAACACCTGGATCCAGCCCAACCCAACCCACCATTGGTGACGATATGACAGAGTCCACCTTGGACTTTGATAGAATGCCCGATGCATCTTTGACATCAAGTGTTCTCTCAGGAGCATCTCTTACAGATTCAACCAGCAGTACAACACTCTCTATCCCGGATGTTAAAGTAACCCAACATTTTTCAACAGAAGAAATTGAGGATGAATATGTAACCAATTATACAAGAGAAATTCAAGAGATAATTGCCCATGAATCACTGATTTTGACCTATTCGGAGCCTTCAGAAAGTGCTACATCTGTCCCACCCTCTGACACACCTTCTCTCACATCATCTGTTTCTTCCGTCGGTACCACTGATAGCTCCTCACCTGTTACTACCCTGGATAGCATAACCACAGTTTATACAGAGCCAGTGGACATAATAACTAAATTTGAAGATTCAGAGGAAATTTCTTCATCAACTTATTTTCCAGGCAGCATTATAGACTATCCAGAAGAAATAAGTGTGTCTTTAGATAGGACTACTACACCAGAAGGTAGAGCTGATGCTGATCATGTTATTTCTTTATCTGATATGGTACCTTCTATCACAGAATCTGTAGGATCTAAACCAGAGGGGCCAGTTGCTGACACTATTTCTACTGACTTACCTATATCTGAGAAGGACCCATTGAAGAAAGCCAAGAAGGAAACTGGGAATGGAATCATTCTGGAAGTTTTGGAAGCTTACAGAGATAAAAAGGAGTTGGAGGCTGAACTAACAAAAACTAGCTTATCCAAAACTGTGTTTGATCAATCACCTTCCTCTGTAATAGCCCTTCCAATGAAAGAGCAGCTTTCAACTACATACTTTACATCTGGAGAAGACTTTGGTCAGGAAAAACCTGCATCTCAGTTACCATCTGGCAGTCCTTCTGTTCCCTCTCTTCCAACTAAACCTCGCCCATTCCTGAGAAGTTCTTCTTTGGATATATCAGCTCAACCTCCTCCACCTCCTCCCCCTCCTCCTCCTCCTCCTCCACCACCACCACCCCCTCCTCCCCCACCACTTCCTCCACCAACTTCACCTAAACCAACTATTCATCCTAAAAAAAAGTTAACAGTTACAGCTCCAGTGACTACAGCTACACCTCTGTTTGATGCTATTACTACTGTAGAGACCACAGCTACTCTGAGAAGTAATGGATTACCTGTAACAAGAATAGCTACCACTGCACCTCCTCCTGTTCCTCCTAAGCCATCTTCAATTCCATCTGGACTTGTATTTACCCATAGGCCTGAGCCAAGCAAACCTCCAATCGCCCCCAAGCCAGTGATTCCTCAGCTTCCAACAACTACACAAAAACCAACAGATATACATCCCAAACCAACAGGTCTATCTTTAACTTCAAGTATGACCTTAAATTTAGTGACTTCAGCAGATTATAAATTGCCTTCCCCTACCTCCCCACTTTCCCCACACTCCAACAAGTCCTCACCGAGATTTTCCAAATCCCTCACGGAAACGTATGTAGTTATTACATTGCCATCCGAACCTGGGACTCCAACAGATGCTTCAGCTAGTCAAGTTATTACCAGTTGGCCCTTGGGATCACCCTCCAAAGATCTGGTTTCTGTTGAACCGGTGTTTTCTGTAGTTCCTCCTGTGACAGCTGTAGAAATTCCAGGTTCTTCAGAACAGACCCTGTATATCTCTGGAGCTTTGCAGACATTTTCTGCCACCCCTGTCACAGCACCCTCTTCATTTCAAGCAGCTCCCACATCAGTTGCACAGTTTCTCACAACTGAAGTTTCCAAGACTGAGGTTTCAGCAACCAGAAGTACAGCTCCTAGTGTTGATCTCAGCAGCATTTCCATAACAATTCCTCCAGAGCCTCTTGCTCTAGATAACCTACATTTAGAGAAGCCTCAGTATAAAGAAGATGGAAGACTGCAACTTGTTGGTGATGTAATTGATTTGCGTACAGTACCAAAAGTAGAAGTTAAAACAACTGAAAAATGTATAGATCTTTCTGCTTCTGCAATGGATGTGAAAAGACAGATTACAACAAATGAAGTTTATGGGAAACAAATTAGTGCTGTCCAACCCTCTATTATAAATCTTAGTGCAACATCATCAACAGTGACTCCTATATCTCTGGCCACTGAGACAGTGACCTTTGTTACATGCACAGCTAGTGCAAGTTACACTCCAGGCACAGAAAGCCTAGTGGGTGTGGAACATGTAATGGCAACACCACTCCCACTTACAACATCAAAGCATGCTGAGCCCCCATATAGGATACCAAGTGACCAGGTCTTCCCTACGGTTAGGGAAGAAGCGCCAATAAACTTATCTCTAGGTACTTCAGCACATGCAATGACATCGGCTATTACAAAACCTGTCACTGTGCCTCCTGTTGGTGTCACAAATGGATGGACTGATAGCACCATATCCCAGGGGATCACTGATGGGGAAGTAGTGGATCTCAGCACAACCAAGTCTCATAGAACAGTTGTAACAATGGATGAATCTACTTCAAGTGTGATGACCAAAATAATCGAAGATGACGAAAAACCTGTTGATTTGACTGCAGGAAGAAGAGCTGTGTGCTGTGATGTGGTTTATAAATTACCATTCGGAAGGAGCTGCACAGCACAGCAGCCTGCAACTACTCTTCCGGAGGATCGTTTTGGTTACAGGGATGACCACTATCAGTATGATCGATCAGGGCCATATGGTTATAGAGGGATTGGGGGAATGAAGCCTTCCATGTCTGACACAAATTTAGCAGAAGCTGGACATTTTTTCTATAAAAGTAAGAATGCTTTTGATTATACTGAAGGAACTGATACAGCAGTAGATCTGACTTCAGGGAGAATTACTACAGGTCAGTATGATGTGGCAGCAGACCTTTCCTTGAAATATCATTATGGTGTTCCTCATCTCATTTCAGGATAAAAATGTGGCTCCTTTTCCAGTTTTGTTACTTTTTTTCTTTCTTTGGATGTTTTAGCAGCATATTTTGGAGTACATGTGCGCTTTTGTTTCTTCATTTTTAAAAAATTTGTTCTGCTCAAAATCACCTGCATGTGCCTGCATGTCCAACATTGCTTTTATTCTGCATTTAATTAGGTTAACCTGTGGATTTGCATGCAGTCTCATTCATTATGTTCATCAAGATGAGAGGGCTTTCAGACTCAAAAAGCATCATTCATTCTGGGAACTGGACTATAACTCTGCCCTGTATTTCAGGTGAGGTAATGGATTATTCAAGCAAGACCACAGGTCCATATCCAGAAACAAGACAAGTCATTTCAGGAGTTGGGATTAGTACCCCACAGTATTCCACAGCAAGGATGACACCACCGCCAGGACCCCAGTATTGTGTGGGGAGTGTTTTGAGGTCATCTGATGGTGTTGTCTATTCTTCAGTAGCAACTCCGGCACCCTCTACGTTTGCTATCACCACACAACCCGGCTCCATTTTCAGCACCACAGTGAGGGATTTGTCTGGTATTCATACAACTGATGCCGTGACTTCATTATCTGCCCTTCACCATAGCCAGCCAATGCCTAGATCATATTTTATAACAACGGGTGCATCAGAAACAGACATTGCAGTAACTAGTATTGATATCAGTGCCAGTTTGCAAACTATTACTATCGAATCTCTTACTGCTGAGACGATAGACTCCGTTCCCACTTTAACCACAGCATCCGATGTGTTTCCTGAAGTGGTGGGAGATGAAAGTGCTCTTTTAATTGTCCCTGAAGAAGATAAACAACAGCAGCAGCTAGACTTGGAGCGTGAGCTCCTGGAACTGGAGAAAATTAAGCAACAGCGCTTTGCTGAGGAATTGGAGTGGGAACGTCAGGAAATTCAAAGATTCCGAGAACAAGAGAAGATCATGGTTCAGAAAAAGCTGGAGGAGCTGCAGTCTATGAAGCAGCACCTTCTCTATCAGCAAGAAGAAGAGCGGCAAGCCCAGTTCATGATGAGGCAGGAGACGTTAGCTCAGCAACAGTTACAGCTTGAGCAGATCCAACAGCTGCAGCAACAACTTCACCAGCAGCTGGAGGAGCAAAAGATTCGCCAAATCTACCAGTATAACTATGACCCTTCTGGAACTGCTTCTCCACAAACCACTACAGAGCAGGCAATTTTGGAAGGTCAGTATGCTGCCCCAGAAGGGACTCAATTTTGGGCAACTGAAGATGCAACCACCACAGCCTCAGGTGTTGTGGCAATTGAAATACCACAGAGCCAAGGATGGTACACTGTTCAGTCTGATGGTGTCACCCAGTACATTGCCCCACCTGGTATCCTGAGCACTGTTTCAGAAATACCTCTAACAGATGTTGTTGTGAAAGAGGAAAAACAACCCAAAAAGAGAAGTTCTGGAGCTAAAGTCCGAGGACCATATGATGAGATGGGAGAAAATATGGCAGATGATCCCCGAAGTTTTAAAAAGATAGTGGACAGTGGTGTACAAACGGATGACGAAGATGCCACAGATCGGAGCTATGTGAGTAGAAGAAGGAGAACTAAAAAGAGTGTGGATACAAGCGTCCAAACTGATGATGAAGATCAGGATGAGTGGGATATGCCTACTAGAGCAAGGAGGAAAGCTCGTGTAGGGAAATATGGTGACAGCATGGCAGAGGCTGACAAGACCAAACCCCTTTCCAAAGTCTCCAGCATAGCAGTTCAAACGGTAGCAGAGATATCTGTGCAAACTGAACCAGTTGGAACCATAAGAACACCCTCCATACGGGCACGAGTGGATGCCAAGGTAGAAATAATTAAACACATTTCAGCACCTGAAAAGACTTACAAAGGGGGCAGTTTAGGATGTCAAACAGAAGCAGATTCAGACACACAAAGTCCTCAATATCTGAGTGCCACATCTCCACCCAAAGACAAGAAACGCCCAACACCTTTAGAGATTGGTTATTCATCTCACCTCCGAGCAGATTCCACAGTACAGCTGGCTCCTTCCCCACCCAAATCCCCCAAAGTCCTTTATTCACCCATCTCACCACTTTCACCAGGCAAAGCCTTAGAATCAGCCTTTGTACCTTATGAAAAACCCCTCCCTGATGATATAAGTCCACAGAAAGTACTGCATCCAGATATGGCTAAAGTTCCCCCAGCAAGTCCTAAGACAGCCAAGATGATGCAGCGTTCTATGTCTGACCCCAAGCCTCTGAGTCCAACAGCAGACGAAAGTTCCAGGGCTCCTTTTCAGTATACCGAGGGCTATACGGTAAGAGTGATTCTTTTCAGTTGGAAGGCAATGGATGAGTTGTTAATCATGTGTTTTCAGACATTTAGGAGGCAATCAAGCTCCTGGTACCTCAGAAACCTAATACTAAATTAGAGTGAAGGTTATTGCCTTAGAAATTTGCACTGTGTGTGTGTGTATGTGTGTGTGTAGAAAACCATACATTCACTTAAAAATAACAAAGAAAGAAAGAAAACATATTATGTGAAACAAAATGAGTTTAGTATTTTAAGACAATGAAATTGAAAATCTTATTCTTATATCAAAATCTCCCAAATACCAATTGTAGTGTGATTTAAGTAAACATCATTAATATTCATTTTCAATCATGATAGGAAATGTTAAACAGATAATGCAAAAGGTGACTATAAATTTAGACCATGGGTATTTAGTGGGAATGTTCTTAGAGATCATCTGGTCAGTCTCCTCTTCCTTAAGCAGAATGTTTTCATTAAAAGGCTTGGAATATTTACTGGTCAAAAGAGAATATTTCTGAGGCAAGCAGATAAAACATAATATAATCATCATAGTTCATTCATGCTTATTTTGTTTCTGGCAACTTTATTAATCTAAACTCAGGTAACCCTTAGTCCTAGTGCTTACAGAAGCAAAAGTAATTTTTCATGTTTATTTGAATAATATAAATTATTTTCAAATATGTATGTATGCGTCAAAGGGAAAGGAACATATACAGATGTATCTGTGAGGATCTGTATAACTGAAAATAAGAAATGCTGATAATCAGCTATAAAAGCAGATATTGCCTACTTAGGAAGAATCTAATATACAACACTTCAGAAAGTGATTGATAGATACAATAGCTCAATTTAGAATAAGACTTCTGTTCAAATTAGAAGTTCCCCTAATGCATGATTACCTGAGCTCTAAGTTTTGAACCCTGAAGCTTTTAAGTAGGTTTTTTTTAAGATAGTGTTACATTTCCACTGAATCGTAAGTGTTAAACATTGGCTGTGGGCTGAAAAATATGTCATAACATAGGACTGTAAGTCTACTTGTAGGTATATAGACATCAATAGTCATATTAATAGATTGATAAATGTATTTATGTTTTCTACTGGAATTGTATTATTATGTTTTTTTCTCAAGTAGTATAACCTAAAAATCAAATTGTCTTTATATCAGGGAGACAGATAATTACTGTAGAATCAGGAAACCTCTGGTGCATTGAGATTTCATCCAGTTTACAGAGAATTATTTGATGCATTGTGTTGTTCCTAGAATTTAATCTATTTATATTGTTGAAAAGTGATTTTTAAGTTAGTTATAATATATAGCTATTTATTTTTATAGGTTTTGCCTAGAAATTCACTTGAAAAGTTGTGTGAACAACTTTGAAATATGATTTCTGGAAGTATTTTCAAAGTAATAGGAAAGGCTTCTGTCATTAGAAAGAACATGCTTTCTAGGAGGAATATTGACTATTTACATAATATATATCCCTGTACCCTTAATTCAAATGAACTCAGTTAACAAAGAGTCTCAAGTTATCAATATTTTTTCTTCACAAAGTATTCACTTTGGATTTGGAACTGTATCCATTCGGAAGTTGATACAATGTGTTGTATACTAATGATGTCAACAATATTGATAAGTTAATTATAAAGGAAGTGGAGTAGAATTAACAGATAATACCCAGAATCTGAAAATTCCTAGGTGTTTTGAGCCTCAAAACACTATTCAGTGGTTCCTTTTTCCAGTTGGTCAAGTTAAATGAACACTTTAATATAGAATCATATACAAACTCAAAGGTATTGTCTTATTACATGCACAGGTAGACCATTTTTTACGCAGGCAATGTTTTTAACACTCTAGAGACTATGAGTCTAAGATGTAAATTTTATAATTTCTAGGCAAATATCTAAACATACTTAGAGTCTCTTTTAAACTAAATAAATTAATTTCTTAATTATAAGTGTGAGTTACTAAGTATTAACTATATTAAAAAATAATTTTCTTAGGGATATTCATAGTGATGTGAATTTAAGAAGGCTAACTCAGCAATTCACAGGTTATTAATTTTCACAGACCAGTAAGACTGAAAAAACTTACACTACCCAGTAGTCACTGAAACAACACAGTGACATATATAATATAGTGTAAAAGATGAGTTTTATACTCTGTCAGATTCTGAATCAATCTTTCTCCTGAAAGTGTCAGGAGAGGTTGCAAAGAAGAGGTCTGAGTCATGAAGATTGAGACCTCTGCTGGACCATGAAGAGAAAAATGGAGGTCATTCTAACTAGAGGGAATAAATGGGCAAAGTTTTAGATTTATAAACAGACATAAAGCAAAGAGGAGGAGAAAGGGGTTTACTGTAAATATAACCAGAAAGGTGAGTGAGTGCCAGGTCACTAGGGATCTAATCCGCTGCATCACAAATTGTGGACTTACTTCCTGTGGCTATGAGGATCATAAACCACAGCCACCATCATCTTTTATTTACAACGTGTGTAGCCCTTGGGCTCCTTCTACACTTGCTTTTACTACCATCAGTTCTCTAAACAGCAACTAGAGTGATTTTCTAATATACTTCAGATTCTGTTACTTGAAACACAGTTTAAATGCTATTAGGATCTCATCCAATTCAAAATTTATTAGAAATTTCTTAACAAAGCCGCATATGGTGTGATCTCCGATTGTTTCGTGACCTCATTGGTCACTTTCCAAACTTTCTCCCCTCCTCACTCTGTTCCGACCACAGGCCAAGCTGTTCTTTGGATGTGCCAAACTCGCCGCTCCCCCCGCCCACCGCCCCCTGCCCAGGGCACATGTCTGGAGCTCTCTTTCCCCAGATATGTGCATGCTCACTCCTATGTACAAATTTCACCTCCACAGAGAGACTTTTCTTATTTTGTTCTCTAAAGAAGTCTACTTCTTACTACAAATCTCTATTTCTGCTTCTAAATTTGCATATATTATTTAATATATTACATTATGTATTTAATTAAATATTATCTTTCTTTTTTTTTTTTCTTTTTTTTTTTTAATGGAGTCTTGCCCTGTTGCCCAGGCTAGAGTGCAATGCCATGATCTCGGCTCACTGCAACCTCCACATCCTGGATTCAAGCAATTCTCCTGTCTCAGCCTCCCGAGTAGCTGGGATTTAGGCACATGCTGCCAAGACCAGCTAATCTTTTGTATTTTTAGTAGAGACAGGGTTTCACCATGTTGGCCAGGCTGTCCTCAAACTCCTGACCTCATGATCCACCTGCCTTGACCTCCCAAAGTGCTGGGATTACAGACGTGAGCCACCATGCCCTGCCAAATATTATCTTTCTTCTCCATTAGAATATAAGCTCTACAAGAGCTGGAATTTTGCTTTTCTTGCTGCTGTAGTCCTAAATGCCTGAATAGTGCCTGGTGTGAAGTAGGTGCTCAACACTTATTGAATAAATTTATGAAAGGGAAGATTATAATCATGGAAGCAATGGGATAAGATTTATATTGAAAAGATTCTGGCTGCTTATCTCTTCGTTGCCATACCTGGACAATGAAATCGTAGCAAGTCTTGTGAATAATCTAAGTTAATATGTCCTTTGTTTAAAGTATCACTTTCACTTTCTTTATTTTTATATAGGCATCTGAAACACTAAATACGAGTTAAATGGTGTTTAGCTATTAGAGAGTCCAGGCACCTTACAGATAAGAGAACAAGTCCCAAAGTAGTCTAGTGGTTTTATGATGGCTCCTTATTGTACCAGGGCCTGAATCCACACTTCGTAGTTCATATCCTTTTATTAGTTTCTTCTGAGCCTTATTAAATGTTTTCTAATTATTTCTTCCTAATTCAGTGCCATGGCTTGATTTTTTTTTAATCTTGGCCTTTCCTCTGCTGTTTTTAAAATTCCAGTTTAAATATCCATCAATTAGGTTTATTCATTTTTAAAATTCAATTCTTGCTTGTTTTCACTCATTACCTTATTCATTGCTCTTTTCCAGACATGGTGATAAACTATAAAGAGATGGATGAGTAAGAGGACGTCATGCTTGATTTCCTACCACTAGGATCATTTTGTTCTTCTTGCCCATGTATTATATCAGTTTGCTAGCCCTCTCATAACACAGTACCACAAACTGGGTGCTTAAACAACAGAAATTTATTCCTTCTATGTGTGTCTATCTCTGTTCCCAAATTTCCCTTTTGTAAGGATACCACCATATTGATTGAGGCCTAAACTAATGACCTCATTTTAACTTGATTACCTCTGTAACAAACCTATGTTCAAAGAGGTTCACATTGTGAGGTATCAAAGGTTAAGACTCCAATGTATCATTTTTTTGGAGGAGATAAAATTTGATCCATAAAATATATCAAAGCCCTATTTTGTACCTTTTGTTTGCTCAAAGGCAAATATGGATGACATTTTATTTGTTTGGGATATTTTTCAAGACCCTAACAGTCTGGTATAAAATGTTATTTGTTGACATTTATGTAACTAGACAGTTTTATCTTGTAACATACTTACTCTTACAGATTTAATTGTTTAACTCTGAGTAAAGATGGAAAAAAAATACCACCTGTTTCCTTAAGTCTTTCACTTTACTCCACAGGAAAAAAAAAATCCCAAGAGATACAAACACAGTCTGAATTCATTTCTTCTGAGTTTAAGCTTGGTACCTAGGTATGATTTAGTGATGCTGTATTTTCATCATGTTAGCAAAATCACAGGAAAGAAATATAAATTTTAATGAAACGTAGCATGTGGACAGGAATTTTATTAATTTGCCAGTAGAACTGTTCTTCAATTAGAATATTTTATGTAAGGCAGAGAGTTAAAAAATGGGTAGAATCAGAATGATCAAAGGTTTGTTTGTAATGATTAAATGAAGTAACGTTTATAACCTTCTCATCAGCAAGTCTGGCAATTGTAGATATCCAGTAATGCAGATTCTCTAAGACTGACATTTGGCAAATATCTGTATTTCCTCAGTAAAAAGTCACCAGCTATCATTAAAGAGCT